CTCCAAAATTGCTCTAAAGTCAAAGTCTCTCTAGAAAAACCGAGCATCCCCCTTTATATGCCCTAATTTTTTAAGTTACAACGTAAAATGCACAGCTGCGAAGGGCCAGGCGCCGCGGTGCCTTTTGTAGAATGGCTTTCCTTTCGAGGTTCCGTGCAGCGATGCAGCGATGCATGCGTGATAATCGGCCGCGGCAAATTATACCAAATAGGTTTCTCCGAGATAGCTTGGGCACCGCGACGCCTTTTACAGAGACGTGCTCATCCTTTTCTGTTTGATCCGCCGCGGTGTTTTCTCCCAGAGGCTGTGGCGGCTGACTTCTTTTCAGCTTTTCTCCATTCTTTACTCTCCTCAGGCTTTGTTTCCTGCAAAATTGACTTTCAAACCTCATAAAAGAATGTTAAATCAGCTTAACTCAGTAGGAATTTTGAGAGGTTATCACACCCCCAAACTTACACTTTTGCTCGTCCTCGAGTAAAACAACAAACCAGTGACTAAGTAACAAATTGCACATTAAAGAATGTAGGAACAATTATATCCTCATCAAATGCTCAAGAAATTATACAGGATAGGAAATTACTGAATCACCCAAAGAAACAGGTTTCATGAACTTAAAACAAACTTTCAATGATTTTGGAGTGTGAGTGTGTATATAGAGTCAATGAGCATCTCTCTTAACTGATACTGTTTCAGTGGACTGGGAGACTTTAGCCAACATACTAGCTTTCAACCGCATCCTTTCATAAGCCTAACTTCTTCTCTCTCTCTGTCTACAACTCACCCTATATCATTTGAAATCAAATGGACTTTTCGGCTTATAACGTGGCCAAGAGTAATGGCTTAGGAAAGAAAGGGGAAAGTAGATCATACAAATACTTTGAGATAAATAGATATTCAATAATCAGAACTTACTTCAACCACTTTCATTCTCCCAAACTTGTACCACAATTATTTATATATAGATATGTATATATACCTATATTTTTTTGTCTTTTTTTCTTTTTTTTTGTTTTGTTTTGTTTTTTTTTTGTTTTTTTTTTTTTTTAACATTGAAAACAAAAATTTACAGCTTAGCTCCTAACACTTTAAATTTTCAGAATAATTGACTACCCCTGCCAACCTTTCAAAATCTCCACATTTCATCAAACCCCTTATCTTTTTAACTTCCATTTAGCTTTTTTTTTTTTGGCCAAAAAACTTCCATTTATCTCAAAGCTAGGGATTTCATGGTTTTCTCAATTGGTTTTGGGTTAGGAAGAGGTTAGGGTTTGAAACAAAACTTGAACATATATACTTTTTTTTTTGTTCAAAGAATGGGTTCAAAGGACAAAACTATAAGGTCAGCTTTGAAAGGCTCAAACGCATTTTTAAGAACTGCCCTAATCTTTTTTCAAATTCATATAGAACAAACTATAAACTTTGAGAAAATCAAAGAAGGTTCTGAAAACAATTTAGTTGAAACAAAAGTATAGAGGCTAAATTATCCACTCAACCTCAACATACCACTTGAAATGTCTTGACCCTTTTAGTGCGTTAGTTTCTCCAAAAATTAAAGAAACATAGGTTTTAACCTCACAATTCAAGCATCAAAGAGCAATTCAAAACTTCCTATCAAGCATAGTAACTAAGCATTTTGTTCAATCATTGGACCATTCATACATTCTCAACTAACAACTTGCCACTTCGGTTCATATTTCATAAAATCAACTGAGCAAAAATTTAAGTTAACAAAATTTCTACTGTTCAGCTGTTTCAAAATTTTCTCAACAACATGACCTTTCAAAAAATTTCAAATTTAACCCTGTTATCCACAAACTTTTCAAATTTAATCTTGTTATCCACAAAAATCAATCCTCACCCCCAAACTTAAAATTGACAGTGTCCTCACTGTCAACCAGAGGAAGTAAAGATCAGGGCATGTAGGCATAATTGAAAAAAAAAATATATTCGCTGCATGAAAGGTCAAAATTTGTTTTTCTTTCTGTACAAGTATATCAGTATGCACAACTATCAATAGTATTGTCATCAGATTCATAATGAATCATCAATTACTAAAGGCATCCACAAATTAATCAATCAAAAGGCCCGTTAACCATCTACATTTTCAATCATTTCTCAACAGTTAACGCAGGAGTGAAAATCAATAATGATAGATATTGCTCAACAGTCAGAATCAGTTCAACAGGCCATCAGTAGCCTTGCCAGAATCATAGAAGCAAACAACACATAAATTAGACCAAAACGCAAGAAAATGCAAAAACACACATAAAGACAAAAGCAACAAGCAAGCAACAACAGCAGTAGAAATGGCCCCAGCTAGTCATCCTCCTCCTCAGAATGCTGATCCCCCTGATCCTCATCACCCTCTGCAAATGGATCGATGGCCATATCATCGCCCGAGCCAATACCAGCCCTAGAAGTTCCAGCTTCATGTTCATCTCCCGGTGACTCTGCTCAGTGCTTGTATCTTCCACATCCGGCGCGTCAATGTCCAATTTCCTTGCAATCTGGACTAATAGTTCCTCCATACGCCTTTGTCTACGTCTCCTGTGACGTATCTCTCTGTCCAATTTCTCGTGGAGGAGATCCAAGCTTTGAGTGGTAGGGTCAACACTGGCACTGGCTTGAGCTTCCTTTTCATTCCTCGGGGAACTGTTCAGCATACATGGCTTCAGTGATCCTTTGCTATTCTCGTTCAGGAACCAGATTAGAGTAGTTGAATGGTGAAACAGGCTTGAACTTTTGATCTTTGTCTTTCCATTCTACCCCCACTTTAGATAGCAGATCCGAGATGAGGTGAGGCATGACGAGATTTGTGTTGTGGGCTCTGTTGGCATCCCAGATGGCATCAAAAATCAATTTCCCTACATCCACTGTCGCCTTGATCATAAACAGATATATCAGGAGTGCCAGATTCCTTGGGGCTTCACTGAGATGCGTGGTTGGCATAATGTTTCTTGTGACAATATGCAACCAGATTCTGGCCTCAGGTATCATGTCTTTTCGCATAATATACGCCTGGCCCTCTTAGGCCGCACCCACATCTCATCAGAACCGGTGAGTGTTGCTGAGATGGCATCGAGAGGGAATCTCCTTCTGATTGTTGAGATACCACTGATATTGGCACTTTTCAACCTCGGGAAGCTCATAGTGATCTCTGATGCGCACCGGAGTATAAGGACACACTGGTACCGTATAAACATCTCATTACTCAAGTTTGTTGCCACCCATAGAATTTTTTGACCAGCTTCTCATTCCCTTCGCCTTTGGGACCAATCAGATTTAAGAGGTTGAGCTTCCTTGCTTTTTTATAAACCCAAATTTATTTGCACGGAAATTCTCTTTCTTGATGCAAACCTCTTTTTTCAATAAGCTCTTTAATTGGAGGATCAGGGGAGGTAGCACGGGCTTTCTTCCTGAGGGCCATTGGATTGTTACCTGCAAAAAGAAAGCAAAGCACACCACAATCACGAAACACAACCAACAAAGAAAAAGAAGAAAAGCTAACCTAAAAATAAAGAACTATCCCCCAAACTTAAATCAAGGAGCGAACACCTTCTCACCATTACTAATCCCTTTCTAAACCTGAGTTATAAAATACCCCCAATTCAAACTAAGTTCACAAAGATTCTCTTTTATCTAAATTTCAAAGTCAGACAACCATCAGTAGCTGCCAATTTAAACTATTTTCACTAAATCAGAATAACATTTCCAAATCAGTTACAAGTGAAAAAGAAAACATAACTTGGGTAATGAACAGGTGTTATTTGAAAATTTAGACAAGCATCTCATTTTCTCAAATCAGGTCCAAGCTATGATCACTCAATTTCACAAGTATCACATTTTATCCAATACATGTTCACAGATAGTTGGGCAATGGGATTATCACCTAACCACAATGTAACCTCAGAGAATAAAAATGCCCCCATCTAGAGTTCTAAAATCATCTAACCACAATGCACAACCTATAGCATTACCCATCTCCAGCACAAACCGCAAAGAACGACAAACAATGGACTGAAGGCACCGAAACACAAGCACGGAAGCTTGGGCGCTGGCGGTGAGGAGAAATAGAGGGCAGTGGCGGAGAGAAAGGAGATGACTGGCGATTTCGAATGGACTGAAGGAGTGATAATTCGAATGGACTAAGAGTGGTATTTCGAATGGGATGGGGGTTATCTGAAAGGGGGGTTTTGAAATTTGGATGGAGAGTGAAAAGACCAAAGGGTTAGGGTTTTGAAATTAAAACAATGAATCTACCCTCAAAAACCGGTCAGATACACTGGGGCAAAGTGGGTATTGAGAGAAATGAGTAAGGTCAAACAGGAAACACAAAGAAGGAATTCAAAAGGAGCCGCGGCGCCTTTTACAGAATTGCAGACTCTAGTTAAATTATTCGCGCCGCGGCCTCTATGTATAAACGCCGCGGCGGTTTTTACCAAGAAGGACCTACAGCCAATGACGAAGGCGCCGCGACGGATTAACTCAAGGGGCCGTGGCGCCTATTACAGAAAGAGGGTTCTAAAAACAGACGAGGCGCCGCGGCTTCTGATCAAATGTGCCGCGACGCCTCACACTGAGAAGGCCTAACATGAAAAATTAATGAACACAGACTGGACCTACCACAATCAAACACCCTACACACAATAAACAAGACTAAACACAAACACAAGCATAAAAACAAACACAACACAAACAACCACATAAAAGCAAAACCCACAAGCCTTAATGTAACACAAATTCAAACCAATCAAGGTCAAGGCCACTACTGGAGATTAAGGTTAGGTGCACTTCCCTGGTTGCGCTAATTAGAAATCAACCACTCCTGCTAAGCTCCAAATTTGAGGAACAAACCAAAAGGCCTACAAAAACAAAGATCAACCGTAAATCCACTAAAATAAAACCGAAATAAAAGAAACACATCAAAGGCAAGTTTAGAGCTTGGGTTGCCTCCCAAGTAGCGCTTGGTTTATAGTCTTCAGCCTGACTCTTCAGCTCTGTTATGATTTTTCAGCAAAGTAGATCGTAGAGACTTGACAATCCACCTTTCCACCCCAATAATGCTTCAAACGATGGCCATTTGCATGAAATCTTTCACCTTTTTCATTTTCCAGCTCCACCGCACCATAGTTAGCAGCTTGTACCACAGTGAATGGCCCTGACCAGCGTGATTTGAGTTTGCCCGGAAATAATCTCAATTTTGAATTATGAAGTAACACCTTTTGCCCCGCTTCAAAGACCTTGGGGATAATTTTCTGATCATGATACTTCTTGGTCCGTTCCTTATAGAGCCTTGCACTTTCATAGGCATTAAGGTGAAATTCCTCCAATTCATTCAGTTGAAGGAGCCTTTTTACACCAACATCTTGAAAGTCAAAGTTGAGTTTTTTTATGGCCCAGTAAGCTCCATGTTCCAATTCTACAGGCAAATGACATGCTTTTCCAAACACCAACCGATAGGGAGGCATCCCAATCGGAGTTTTATATGCTGTCCTGTAGGCCCAAAGAGGATCATCCAGTTTTAATGACCAATCTTTTCTTGTTGCACCTACTACCTTCTCAAGAATGCTTTTGATCTCTCAGTTGGATATTTCTGCTTGGCCATTTGACTGAGGATGATAAGCCAAAGTTACCCTGTGCTTTACACCATATTTCTTCATCAAAGCTTGAAATTGGTGATTGTAAAAGTGAGAACCACCATCACTAATGATAGCCCGAGGTGCTCCAAATCTCGTGACGATGTTTTTCTTTAAAAATTTGATCACCATTTTAGCATCACTGGATACACATGCAGTAGCTTCAACCCATTTCGATACATAATCCACAGCAACCAGAATGTACTCTTGATTGAGAGACTTTGGAAACGGGCCCATGAAGTCAATTCCCCATACATCAAAGAGTTCAACTTCCAAAATATTATTCAGAGGCATTTCATTCCTTCTTGATATGTTTCCCACTCGTTGACACCGATCACATCGGATCACAAAGGCATATGCATCTTTAAATAGTGAAGGCCAATAAAAACCACTTTGAAGGACTTTGGCAGCCTTTTTTTCTCCTCTAAAGTGCCCACCATAAGCTGGAGAGTGGCAACACTCTAGAATATCTTGCTGCTCAACTTCCAAAACACATCTTCTTATCATCTGATTGGCACATCTTTTGAACAAGTAAGGTTCTTCCCAGAAGTACATCTTTGCATCGTGAAGAAATTTCCTCTTTTGATGGGAGTTAAGGTCTAGTGGCAGAGTTCCACAAACCAGATAATTAACTAGATCTGCATACCATGGAGTAGTTGAGTTATCCACAAAGAACAAGCATTCATTGGGAAAAGATGCATTGATCTCTTGACAATGATCATGTTTAGCTTCACTACTTAATCGAGATAGATGATCTACCACTTGGTTATCAGTGCCTTTCCTATCAACAATTTCCAAGTCAAATTCTTGAAGCAAAAGGACCCATCGAATCAGGTGTGCTTTGGAATCTTTCTTGGTAAACAGGTACTTTAGGGCAGAGTGGTCTGTATAGATAGTCACTTTGGTGCCCACAATATAAGACCGGAATTTCTCACAAGCAAATACCACTGCAAGCAATTCTTTCTCTGTAGTAGTGTAGTTAAGTTGGGCATTATCCAAGGTTTTACTAGCATAGTAGATGGGATGGAAGACCTTTTCTACTTTTTGTCCAAGAACTGCTCCAACGGCAAAATCACTAGCATCTGCCATAATGATGAAAGGTAGCTCCCAATTAGGTGCCACTAAAATTGGTGCTGAGGTGAGCTTCTTCTTTAATTCTTTAAAAGAGTTTATACAAGCGTCATCAAACTTGAACTCCCTATCTTTCTCCAACAAATTGCACAAAGGCCTAGTGATTTTAGAGAAATCTTTAATGAAACGACGATAGAATCCCACGTGACCCAAGAAACTTCTAATACCCTTAACACTTGTTGGTGGAGGCAATTGCTCAATAACAGATACCTTTGCCTTGTCAACTTCTAGGCCTTGTTTGGATACTCGATGACCAAGGACAATACCCTCTTACACCATAAAGTGACATTTTTCCCAATTTAGAACCAAATTAGTTTCTTCACATTGTTGCAAAACAGCCGCCAAATTATCTAAACAACAATCAAAAGAATCTCCAAAAACAGAGAAATCATCCATGAACACTTCAATTGTTTTCTCAATCATGTCAGCAAAGATGGTCATCATGCATCTTTGGAATGTTGCTGGAGCATTGCAAAGGCCAAATGGCATTCTTTTGAAAGCAAACGTGCCATATGGACAAGTAAAGGTTGTTTTCTCTTAATCTTTTGGGGCTATTACAATTTGGTTGTATCCGGAATACCCATCCAAGAAACAAAAGAATTCTTGCCCAGCAAGTTTATCCAACATCTGATCAATAAATGGCAGCAGGAAATGGTCTTTTCTGGTTGCTGTATTTAACTTTCGATAATCCATGCAAATTCTCCACCCAGTCACAGTACAAGTTGCAACTAGCTCATTTCGGGTGTTAGCCACTATAGTTATACCGCCTTTTTTAGGGACGCATTGAACTGGGCTCACCCATGAACTATCAGAAATAGGGTAGACTATGCCAGCAGAAAGCCATTTCAGGATCTCTTTCTTGACTACTTCTTTCATAACCGGGTTTAATCTCCTTTGATGCTCAATGGAAGGTTTGTGACCATTCTCTAATAAAATCTTGTGCATACAAATAAAGGGGCTGATCCCTTTGATGTCACTATAGACCACCCAGTAGCTTTCTTGTGGTGTCTCAAGACCCTTAACAATTTCTCTTCTTGCAACGTGGACAACTGAGAAGAAACAATCACAGGTAATGTAGTAGAATTACCCAAGTAGGCATACTTGAGATGTGATGGTGAAGTCTTCAACTCTAAAACCGGCGGTTCATCCACAAAAAGCTTTAGAGGAGAGCTTAAAGCACTAGTCACATCTAGAGGCTCAAAAGTCTTAGCTTTTCAATACGGAAATGCTTCAATACTCATCATTTCTGTATAAGCTTCAACCTTGCCATCAATACTACTTGTTTCTCCAATCAACAATGCTTCTAATGGGTCTTTGGTTAAAGAGTTAATCAACCCCATGCCTATTTAATTTGCGAATCAAAACTGATTTTAGTGACCACTGGCCGCTTGGCCGAATGATATGTGTGAGTGGGTTTTGCAGGTTCTAGCCCATATAAAAAGCAAAAAAGAAAAAACTGAATTTAGTGCTCACGGTGCTCATTGCAACAATGAAATGCATATGATCTGAATATGGTTTTAATTTTTAACGGTTTGGATTTAAAAATTTTAATTAATAATGTTTAAACAATTTTTTTCGTAAAAACTAACTGTTAAAAAAATATTTATTTTAAATTTTGTGTAAGTTAAAATATTAAAATTATAAAAATAAAATTATATTAAGTTGCAACCACGTACTTTTAATTTGAATACTCCGTATTTGGTTTCCATCACCAAACTGAGTCCTTTGCCAATCCTTCCAGACTGATGCAAAGCAAAAAGCTTGTGTTGTGATTAAAAAAATTTTCTCTTATTCAGATTACTGTTTAAAATTTATTAAATGAAATAATACTCTTTCAATTTTAAATACAAAATTTACTTTATAATATAATTTACATTATAATATGAGTTTTATATTTAAAATCAGGGTTTTTTTTCTTAATCATCCGGCCCCAACTTTTTGTTTAAAATTTAAAATTTTCTTTTGGTGACGTGTTTATGATGTCCAAGCTATACACATAAATAAAACACACCTGAGCCCCACACACAAGATAAAGCCTCTGATCCAAGTGGAAAAAGAAGAATGTGGAGCCAGGAGATTGATTGGGAGAGAGAAGTGATGGAAGAAATGCTTGCAGTGTTTTGACTTTTGATCACAATGCCGTAGCAGACGTGTCCACCGGGAATCCCTGGACGGATTGATTGATTGAGAGAGAGGAAGGAGGAGAGTTGGCCAGGTGGGACCAGGAGAGGCGACCGCGACCTCATGTCACGCCCCCACATCGGCGGTTGCTTGCTTTTGCACTGCCATAATTCGGTAATCCCAATATTTTCTTTATTTTGGTTTTTTTAATTTACCCACCTAATATTTTAAATTGATAGGAAAGAAAGTAAATCAAAATTAAAATTTTAAAATTAAAGTAAAATGATAAAAGTGCACCTTTATTAATCCTATTAACAAAATATCTTGTTAATTGTAAATTGAGATTTATAATTTCACAATCAGAAAATAAATTGTTGTTACTTTCAAATAATTGATATGTTATTTCGTATGTTATATATTAAAAAAAATGTCATTAATCTTAAATTAAGACTTTTTATTTCACAATTAGAATTTATTATTTCGGATGAATTGTTATTCATGATGAGATATTTTTTTTGTTATTTCCCTTAAATTTCAAATTTTCAATTTAAGTTGACTTGTTTCTTTGTCATTTTCAAATGTTAGGTGTTTAAATTGAAAAATAGTAATTGCAGGATTCTTTTTAAGGAATTTTCCCAACCTTTTAATTAAATAACTTATCTAAACTCACACTCATATAATTTTTGGTCCTACAAGTTTACACTCATTTTGGTTTTGAGCTCTCAAGTCTCAAATCATAGATTTTGGCCCATCAATAGGCAAAATAATTCAAATTTTTATTAAATTATAGAGGCTATCGTTTTGGACAAAAAAAAACTTGAAGAACCAAAATTATGTAATTTGAAATTTAAGAGATTAAAATTAAAATAAGGACAAATTTAAAGAATTAAAATTTATATTAATCCTAACTTATCTCTACTTTCTCATGTTCCCAGCTTTACTTTTAGAAATAAAATGCGTCAACAATCTGAAAAGTGAATTTGTTGACTGAAACAATCCACAAAGCTTCATCTTTTGTATTATATTAGCTTTTTAAAAATAACTTTTATGGTATCTAAGATAGGTATGTAAAAAAATTTTATGAGGTCATACTCCTATTTATTAGTCCAAAATTTGCAATCCTTATTGAAATGTATATATGTATTTGTGAGTTTACCATATAAATACTTGTAAATTGTTACATAAATATTAGGAAAAATTTGGAATAAATCCCTCATTGAAAATTTAATCAGCAAATGGAATTTGGGATGATTGATTACACAGGGAAAGATTAGTTGTACACAAAGGATGATAAGTTGCACAAAGAAAAAATAGTTTGCACAAATTATTATTTGGATATAAGGAATTAGTTTGCATATAGAGAAGATAACTTGCATATAAGAGAATTTCATTTACACAAAGGGAAATTGAGTTGCACATCGCAAAAAGAAATATGATTACACATAAAGGAAGATCCATTGCACACAAAAGAAGTTAAATTGTACAAAATTCTCAGATCTCATTTGCCAATTAAATTTTCAATAGAGGATTTATCCCCAATTTTTCCTAAATATTATTATTTTTTACATCAATTCTAATTT